TTTTAAGGAAATTCAAGATTAAGATAGTATTATATATTTTCATCATCTATTGATCTCAAATTTTCATCTCTAAAACTTTTGAATTGTCGAACTATTGAACTCTTGGAGAAAGAAAGTAAGAAAGAAATAAAAAATAAAGTACGCAATCTTATGAGAGAAGGGAAAAGAAAGATTGTGACTTAGACAAAATAAAAAATAGAGTATAAAATTGTACAACTATTCATATTTCCCATAATAATTATTCTCATATTGAATGTGGTTTATTCAAAACTATAACAAAATTATATTTTTTATATGATTTTTTTTTATTTTTCTACTAAAAATACTCAATCTTTTAATGTAAAGAAAACCTATAAACCTATTATTGCTAAAAAAATTATGGGGCCCCCAAATATGGGAGCCTAAAACAAGTGCCTTACTTGCTTCACCATTGAGCCAGCACTGAATATATGGCTACTTCGCCAATACAATTTAAAATACGGGGCGCCTTCGGTGCATGTCCCCCAACTGGAGCTACTAGCGGCTCCTCAACTGCTGCTCTGACGGGTTGCTCTAGCTACGGCGCGTGCCCCTCCTCGGTCTCTACCTCGGCCCGGCCTCTCGCGGCTCTAGCAGGGGCGCGGGTGTCTACCTTTGCTGACCTGGTAGCGCGTGTTCTCACCATCTCTGAGAGAATAGAGATACGAAGGCTCAAACATGGAAATCAATAAATCCGCACGACATGAATGAAATAAGTGAAATTTTCCTAAAGCTCCGTAGCCTCTCGAAGATAAGTACAGACGTCTCTGTACCGATCCGCAAGACTCTACTAAACTTGCTCGTGACTCGTAAAACCTATGGACCTAGAGCTCTGATACCAACTTGTCACGACCCAAAAATCCACCATAGGCATCGCGATGGCACCTAGTCTCTAAGACTAGGTAAGCTGATTACTAATAATGATTGGGCAAATTTTTAACAATGATAATTTGAAACAGTGTCTAATATGAATATCGAAACAAAAGCGTAATAAGCCTACGCGGCAATAACCATAACAACCTCCCAAGATTTGGTAATATAGAGTCACTTGCTAAGTACATAAAAAGATCTCAAAGATCGAAACAAAATACTGTTCAAATAACAAGCTGATAGTACAATGAAACAAAAGAACTCCAAGGGACTGCAACGACCAAGCAGCTCTACCTTGAATCTTCGTGATGCTAACTCTGCCTGAGTCCGATATCTCTAATACCTGGCTCTACACAAAAAAGTGCAGAAGTGTAGTATGAGTACACCACAGTCTGTACCCAGTAAGTATCAAGACTAATCTCGGTAGGATAGTAATGAGGTACAAGTCAAGACACACACTAGACAAACTAACATGTGCAGTATAGAAGCATAAAGCTAATAATGAAAGCAGAAATCAGTAAATGGCAACAAGAATAAACAAGTGATATAAACAGTAAAGCAATAAGAACACCGTGAAGTATCGTTAAAACCAAATAAGGAACACAAAGGACAACCAATTAATCAAGCCGTTCTAACACAAGTTTCAGAAAGAAATCACTGCATGATACCTCATCTCATAATCACAAGTCACAGGTCTTAACCCACCATCCTATGCTCACGGGCAACTCATCTGCCAATATCTCAATCCGTCCGATATGATCACAGGCTCACATTCACAATCTGCCGGCATGGTCACAGGCTCACAATCACAATCCGCCTGGGCATTGTCACAGGCTCATAATCACAATCCGCCCGGCATGATCACAGGCTCAGAATCACAATCCGTCTGGCATATTCACTGGCTCAATATCAACATGAAAATCAATAATACAAGAACACACAGGCATGATCAATAAATGTCAAGTTTCATACTCCTGAGCTAGTATAAGTGGCATGCTACGATGTATGCTTGTGCGAGTGCACTACTGTAGCCCAAGTCAACAAGTAATATCAAAGATATTGAGTAGCTCATCGAAGCAACATAACAAATCACGTTAGGTGTATGACATGCACAAGGAAAAGCACACCATCACACAAAAATCACCAACACAATATCCCCAAGCCATCACACATCATCCCTGACATTGCCACCCTTATCTCTCCGATAGCTACCCGTATCACTCCGTCCTGACTATATAATTAGCCACCCGTATCACTCCGTATAATAGCCACCCTTATCGCTCCACTCGGACAATAACACAATAGCCACATGTATCACTCTGTACATTCAACAACAGTGAGATGCCACCTTATGCCCCGCATAACAACAACGGTGAAATGCCACCCTTATGCTCCGCATAACAACAACCAACTACACCACAATTCCCATGTTGCTAACATCACAACAACACGACATATCAACTCGTATCACAAGTGCCCATAGGCCACAACATTTTCAAAAATCCAACAATATCAATATTTCCACAACAAATAGCCCACGGCTCAACACAATGTGTATAGAATCTCAATAACAATAAAATGAACGAAAAAGTAACTCAACAAGGAACAACACCCCCTTTAAACACAACTTCAATCAAAATAGATTAATGACTTTCGATTAACTCAATCCTAATTAATTGTTTAAGGATAAACTCAATAGTGCAAGTATTTCTATGGGATGGCAAACTTCGGATTCTAGTGTATGAATAGGCTAACAATGAAAGAGATGGCACGAACTAGCACTACGTCTAAATGCATGAGAATAACCCGTCAACAAAAGGATATCATGTAACAACAATTTCAACTAAGAGTAACTCCACAATAAAAGAAATCACATAATGATAAAAGTGATAACAACTTCAAATAAAGCATAGAAGAGCAAACTCGAAAAGTAAAGAATGTGACATGTAACGACAACTTCAAATAAAGCATGTGATAGTAGACATGACGAATAAAAGATATAACATGTATTAACAATTCTAAATAAGTACATGAAAGAAGCCTAAGAGTCTAAGCTGGTCAATTTTTCAAAGATAAGCCCGAGTACGTACTCGTCACCTCGCGTACATGGCATTCACATGACACAAATAGCACAAACGACTCAAATCCTAGGGGTAGTTCCCCCATAAAAAAATGGGCAAGATAATTACCTCATAGAAGCTAAACTGATACTCTAAAATAACAGTTTCGTGTGAAACAACCTCCCGATGGCTCAAATCTAGCCAAAATAACTTAATGTCATAAAGAAAAATCATAGGAAACAATTTCGAATAATAAAGCTTCGATCTTTAATGAAAACTAAAAAGTCAACCCAAAAAGTCAACCCCTTGCCCGCACCTCGAAACCCGACTAAATTCATAAAATCCGAATATCCATTCCGATGAATCCAACCATATCAAAATTATCCAATTCCGACATCAAATCGGCCTTCAAATTCTTATTTTACATTTTTGAAAGTTTATACAAAAATTCTCATTTTCTCCCATTCAAATCACTAATTTAATGTTAAAAACAAAGATAGAATCACGAAATATAATCAAAACCGGATAAAGAACACTTACCCCAATCCAAAGTGTGAAAATCCCCTTCAAAATCACCCAAATTCGAGCTTCATAGCTCAAAATATGATAAAATGACCAAGACCTTCGAAATAGATCTAGTACTTTAATCATTGCTCTAGAGGTACCCTTTGCGGTCGCGATCACCAACCTTGCGATCGCGATTCAAAAAAATTCCAGCACAAATTTTACCCTTCGCGATCCCGGCCATTTCCCCGCGATCGGGATGAACAAATTCCCATTACCGTTCCCAAACTCTTCTCAGGCAGTTTGTAGTGTAACAGCCAGAACTTTTTGTACAAAACTCCAAATGACAAACGGTTTGATTTCTGAAAACTAGACTCAAAGAGCTACAACTTTTATATTTTGGATCATCTCCAAATTCCTTATATATTGCAAGATATAAGCTTCCAAAGTCGGTTTAGTGATAGCAGAATTTCCTCTAAGCGATTGCAAAAAGGCTTCCGCGATCGCGATTCACAGTGCCCAAACAAGATATTTGTTTTTCGCGAACATGACCCAAAGTCTGCGATCGCGATGCACACCCCTGTGGCCAAAAATCAGCAATTAAAAATGGTCTAAAAATGGTCTGAAACCACCCCGAAACTCACTCGACCAACAAGTTTAGTAACATAACGCGGACCTGCTCGAGGCCTCAAATCACATCAAAAGCCATCAAAACTACGAATCGCACCTTAAATTGAACTTATGAAATTTCAACATCTACAACTCGCGCCGATTCATATCATATCAACCCGGAATAACCTCAAATTTTGCATGCAAGTCCTAAATGACATAACAGAGCTATTCTAACTCTCGGAATCGCAATCCGAGCCCGATATTCACAGAGACAACTCCCGGTCAAACCTCTCAACCTTCCAAACCTTTAACTTTCCAATTTTCGCCAAAATGCATCAAACCAAGCTACGAACCTCCAAATCCAAATCTTGGTATATATATGCCTAAGTCCAAAATTACCATACGAAACTATTGGAATCATGAAAATACCATTCCAAAATTGTCTACACAAAAGCCAAACTCCGGTCAACTCTTACCGCTTAAGCTTCTAAGACAAGAATCAGCCTTCCAAATCAATCCCGAATCGTTCGAAAACCGAACTCAACCACACACGCAAGTCATAATACATAACACGAAGCTACTCGAGACCTTAAGCCACCGAATGGGATGCTAATTCTCAAAATGACCGATCGGGTCGTTGCAGACATGGGCCAACCCCATCCATTCCTATCATATATTATATACAATATGTTTGATTAAAAGTTGTATATGCTGCTATTGTATAAAAAAAACATTACATTATTAATGCACTTCCTTTTCTACATTATGTAGTTTAATAATTTGTAATAGCTAGGCTTTTATTAACATCGCTGTAATAGCTTTTTTCTAAATTACCAACTTATCTTTGTCGTTGACACATACGTGCAATTAAATTTTAAGTTACATGATTTTCATAGTATTTTATATCATTAGTTATTGAATCTACAGCTTCAGAAGTACTTGCAAGATAAAAAATCTTATTACGAAAAACATTAAAGTCAAACCAGAAAATGTACAATAGAAGGCAAAAGAAAAGAGGGGGAAGAGAAACAACCAAAACGAAAAAGAGATTACGTAATACATAATGCAGATTTATAGGAGCACGCAGAGAACTTCAAGTTGCACAAGCAACAGTGTTAATCTCCACGCTGCCAATAGTGATCTCTTTGCCTCCAGAGTGTGGCACAAGAATCACTACAATTTCTTCCTCATCTTCAAGCCCACAGTCCTCTAAAATCTCAGTGATCGCCAAACTCATAGTAGCTGGAATTGTGGCTGCTGTGTTCTGATCACCAGCTTCATTATGCATATGAGGCAAGTTTGCAAAGCTACCAACATACTCTGCCCTGTCGAGAACCTTCGCCTTCACGTCTTCGTCTTCATTGATGAAAACATCAAATCTTATGTATTCATTTTCGTCGAATTTCATGTTGTTGAAGACGAGCAGCTCCTCTTCCCTTTCCTTATCTTCATTACTTCTTGAGATCTTAGGTCTCTGGATCGAAAATGACAAAGTTTTATTCAATCTAGATGGGAAGATTTTGGTGGCTGGTTTCACACTCTTGGCATTCTTCTTGACCTTTTTCTTAGGTGGAGTTGGCCTGAAATTCCTCCATGGGATAGGCACATCTTGGTACATGTATCCTAGTTTCTCGACGTTTAAGCAATCTTGGACCGTCACTTTGACAAGGTTGCGGTTTTCATCATAGAACAAGAAGGCACTATCTAGCCAATCCCTGGAAAAAGAATATCAATTCCAAACGTCAGAGGCGCGTTGATATAATATATATATATATATATATATATATATATATATATATATATATATATATATATATATATACACACACTCTCCCTGTGCTTCAATTTATGTGGTAATATTAATACTTATGGAGTTAAGAGGGTTTTTCTTTGACCACGTTTTTCTTAAATACTTTGCATTATTAACTGTAAGTATGACTTATTGTACTTTTTATGCAGTTTCTAGATATGCAAATTTATTTCCAAAAATTTGGAGAATTACATGTGAATTCACACAAAATATGTTAACTACTTTGACTGTCGTACTCTGAACCTTGCCATGTAGCATGTAATATTGACCCTCGCACTCCGAATCATGCCATGGAACGAGGAAAAGGAGGATCAAATAATGAAAATGTGATCTCTCTTTAATAGATAAATCTAAGCTTTTAAATAAGATATATAATTACACGCACTTAAATAATACCTGTCATTGAAGTCATGGCGTTTGCCTCCTAAAGTCTTCCATATTGTCCACATCCTGTCAATATTGGCATGATGGGCATAGAAGATAGGATCCCGAGCAGCTGAATAAAAAGTCCCCATGTTCTCCCTGAACTTATTATTTGGATTACCAACCCATCGATGCACCGCATTGTGTGGGATATTCTCAATAGTACCCATACCGCGGATAGGTTGTTCCCCTCCACGTATCGGGTTTCCAAAGAAAAGCTGAGGACAAGGGGCATTCGTGATCATTTGACGATACATCATAGTGAGATTATTGTTGATTTTTTGTTCATCAGTGGCATCGAGGTCGATTGTAGTGAACCCTAAGTCGATGACATTAGGAGGAAAATGGTTTTGGTTGCGATTTGAATCGTACAATGGTGAATTAACAACATTGTACAAAGATGGCATTTGCATGCCAACTTGAGTATCGTAGTTCCAAAATGGCAAAGCAAAAGTGTCATCACCTATTAATGACCCAAGAATTCTTTCAAAGAAGTACAAGTACCATCTATGGAAAGGGAAAAATAGCCACGAGAAGTGAACTTGCAACGGCACGCCTGGAAACCCTAGTTCTTTGTAACCAGTGTTGCAATAAGCGCAATGGATATTGGCTTGTTGCATGAAGTTCAATGGATCATCTTTGTCCAATGACTTCATTCTTTGAATAGCAGTAGAGTATTTGGTTATGTAGTCTTGATCCACACTATGTGCAGCTGGTCGAACCTTAAGCTTAGACACAGAAGGAAGTTGATAAGTAGGGATATTAGTAAGGTCTTTTTTAGGGAGTGGTGGACAACAATTGAAGGGTATAGGTGAACCATCAGCAAGACTTGCTGTACTACATGTTGAAAGGTCAGGGGCTGGTACTGGAAGCCCTAAGGCAAATGGCACGTTGGCTATACCGATAAAATTTGCTGCTCCATAAAACCCTCCTAATCCAAGAAGGACATTTCTTCTGTCAACTTTACCTGGAAAATTTCTTCCTTCATCATCATGATTGGCAGTGCTATTTTTTATTTTGCAATTCAACTTATAGTTATCGATACATTTTGCATGTACGAAAAGTTGGGATGGTTTGTGAGAAAATTTGGACGGGGTGGAGATGGTAATGCATGAAGTTGCGAGAAAAGTAGAAGCCATAGCTTTTTATTTCGAAAAGGATATTACGTACCGTTAATTCATGCAGATTGTCTTGTTCAATGTGCTTTATATAGTAGCATTGGGATTAAAGTACGGAGGAAGCAAATTAGCTGGGGCAATTACTGAAATATTTCTTAATGTTTAAATATTTCAAGATGATCATATGGTAATAGGCAAATTGCAGGCACGAAGAAGACTTTAGTGAGAGCACCAAAGCTGGTTCATTGCTTGTCAACTTACAGCTTTAGTTCATAAGAAATGAAGAATATTAAAGTAACAAACTAGTTGTAGGAATTCATTATATTACTACTAGATCTGGTCTGTAACTTAGTTTTTACTCCTAGGAATTTATGTGAGTTGGTACCATTTGTAGTTAAATTATCCTTTAATCTTTCAAAATTCTAAGGTTTCTATGTAGGGGGCTCATTCAGTTAATTAGATGAACTGTCATTCAGAGAAAGATGTCAAGTGTAGATGAAAGGATCGGAGTATGATGAAAAAATGGTTGATTACCAACGAAATTTACTAACCACCCAAATTCATTAGTAAAATCGATTAGACCCTCCTTTCTCCTATTATTCAAGTAAAAAAAATTATGGCAAAGGTACGTAGGTCTTGAGAGGCAGATCCAGGATTTGATTGCTATGGGTGCCACTATCTTTAATGCAAACTATTCATTAGTGCAAGAGGTTTAATTAGGGTGTACGTTCAGCCGGTTTGATCCGTTTTGAAATAATTTGGTTCGGTTCGGTTCAGTCCTTTTCGAATTAATTCAATTCAGTTTAAAAGATTTTTTATGCATAAATAAGTAAGTGATCACCGAACTGAATAAGTTGTGACTAATTGGATCTAATTCTCTTGATTCAAATTCTATTGAATAATGTGATTAAACATAAAATAGAAACAAAATTTTAAATTAGCAAATACACCCCTTTAATTCATACATAGCTAGATTAATATTATGCTTATTGATGCCATCACTCTAAAAAAATTCTAAAATCAGTAAAATGACATTAGATGAATAAAAAGAGAAAATTATTAAAATCACAATAAAATAAAACATGAAGATCTAGAAAAGAAAAAGGAAGCAAATCCATAATTTAAATAAAGGGAAAAGGGTCAAAACTACCTCTCTACTATGTGAAAAAGATCACTTATGCCCTCCGTTATGCTTTCGATCCACTATTACCCCTAACGTTACAAAATTGGTGCAAAAATACCCCTCCTCCGTTAGGGCATTCCACCATGGCTAATATCAGCCTATGTGGCTTGACATTTCGTGAGATGGACGCCAGATGACATGCCATCTCACTGTCCAACCCCATTTTACCCCTCCCTCCGCCTTATCTTCCACCACCAGTTCCCACTTCACCTAACAACCGCCTTCATCACCTCCTTAGTACAAGCATAATCAAAATAAAGAGAAGAAAAGATCCAAACTACGAATCTTTTAACATTTACAAGCAATTAAACCCCCGCCTAAATCTCCAACACCCAAACATCATCTAAGGCTAAGAAACATTAAAAAAAGAAAAAAAAACTCAACTTCCCGCAGCCCAAAACTATACAACCAAGTCCAATATATGCTATAGACTTATACCTCACAAATAACCACAACCTCATCTAAGTTCTTTGATTCAACTAATGCAACACCAGCAACATTCTTCAACTCAATGGCATCTGACAAGTTAATTTCAACTAAATTCCCACAGTTTAACACCAAATTGGACAACCCCACATGGGTAAAAAAACTTAAACCTTGATAGATTGATTGACCTCAATATTTTCTTGCATAAAGTAGTTGTAATTGTGAGTGAATCAAAGTGCCTATAATTCTAGGACAAAGACAAAGATCAAGATTGGTAACTCGAGGGTTATGGCCCAATCATAATATGCATGTAACATTGAACTTAAGCAAGCTATGGATGTACGTACTGTTTTACTCATAGAATTAGGTGACCAAATGTAAGAACCAAGTTTTAAAGAAAGATGTGATAATGGCGGTTGGGGGTGGGTGAAGGGGGAGGTAATTGGTGGAAGAAAAAGTGGAGGGAGTGGTAAAATAGGGTTGGGCGGTGAGGTGGCATACCATGTGTTGTCCACATCAGCATAATATCAATTCACATAGGCTGATATTAGCCATGGTGGAAGGCCCTAACGGAGGAGGGGTATTTTTGTGCCAATTTTGTAATGTTAGGGGTAATAGTGGACCGAAAGTATAACGGAGGACATAAGTGATCCTTTTCACATAGTAGAGGGGTAGTTTTGACTCTTGATAATTAAATAAATAATGAAAATAAGATTGTACAAAGAGAGAGGATAACAAAGATGAAGAAAGAAAATTTATAATTTAAAAATAATAAAAATGAGATTGTACGAAGAGAGAGAAGAACAAAGATGAAGAAAACAAAAAAAAGACAAAGATGCATTATTTTATGTTTAGTAAAAATGCCCTAGAATGTCTCAGAGCCGTGTCTAGTAGAGTTCTTCTTATCAGTGTTGTGTCGACCACATCTATAATTAGGAGGCTACCTGGGCATTTAGAATTTCACCCTTCTTTGGTATTCTAGATTGTGTGATAGAGCTGATTGTAAGTCTGTTCCTCCTTTCTAACTCGTACGTTGTTCTAATTATCAGTATATGGCGCCTAAGAAGGCAAGGAGTGGCCAAAGGGCCAATGCCACCCCAGGTATGGCAATTAATGAGATACCCGATGTTATGTATGGGTACTTGAGGGGTGAAGACATTCCCCCAACCACAACACCTCCTGATTCTACTACTCCTGCTGAAAATGAACCAATTTCCACTCCTGCTAAAAATGCAATGATTCCTCCTCCAGCAGATATTTTGGTTCCACCTCCAGACTCAACTTCCAGTTGTATTTCTTATGGGGACCTTAGGGGCGGCATACAGATGTTGACTCGGATAGTGGCTCTCAGGCCCAAAGATTGTATGCAATATCTACCTCCTCTAGCCAACAAAGAGATTCAGCTAGTTCTAGGGTGAATCGCTTTCTTCAGTTGGATCCTCTGGTATTCACGGGTACTAAGACCGAAGAGGAAACCCAGAACTTTATTGATGAGATGCACAAGACTCTCCGCGTTATGTGTGCCATAGAAATATAAGCAATGGAGTGGGCCTCATATCGCCTTAAGGAGGTGGCGTATTCATGGTTTGAGCTATGGGAGGAGTCCCATGAAGAAGGTAACCCTCCAACAAAATGGAGGGAGTTTGCGGATGCTTTCATTGATCATTTCCAACTAGCCGAGACCAGGGATGCCCGGATGCCGAGTTTGAGAACTTGAAGCAAGGTAGTATGAGTGTGTGGGATTACCATATGAGATTTGCGCGTCTGTCCAAGTATTTTGTTTATATGTTGCCCATTATAGAGGCTAGGGTGTGGTAGTTTGTGCAAGGCCTTAGCCCTTTGGTTATCAATGAGTCTGCTACATTCACCTTGAATTCTGACATGGACTATAGGAAGATGGTGGCATTTTCTAAAGCCACCAAGGCCCGGAAATTGAAGAATAGGATGGAGCGAGAGGGTAGCAAGAAGGCCCGGTCCGTGGGCAACTTTGGTGGTTCTCCTAGTGGGGGTAGTGGTGGAAGGGCAGTATTCAGGGGAGGGTCATATGGACTGATACAGTTATTTACTCAGTCTTCAGTCGGTGCACCGCCATTAGGGCTGGCTCAGCAGCAGTGGAGTCGCTTCAGGCCTAGTCGGGGTGGTAGGGGATCTTATTAGCAGGGTCAGTCAGGCGGGAGATTCCAGCCGTAATAGAGGCCCACATGCCCTAGGTGTGGCAAGATGCACTCAAGAGTCTGCTATATAGACCATCCTATATGCTGCAGGTGTGGTCCTAGGAGTTATATTTAGAGGAATTGCCCTTCATCCCGTTAGAGCGCTGGTAGGGGTGTGGTGAAGCCAGCCAGTTCAGTAGCTACCACATCTACACCACCTCCTCCGACTTGAGGTACTCCGGTACCTGCAGGGCATAGTGTAGCTAGTGTTGGTGCGCAGAGTTCAGGAGGACCCAGCGGGTTCTATTCTACGAGGGGTCTCTAGAGTTTAGAAGCTTTTCCAAATGTTGTCATAGTTATATTAACTATCTAATCTCATGATGTGTGTGTTCTTATAGATCCTGATTCCACCTTATCATATGTCACTCCTTATGTTGCTATAAATTCGGGATAAAATTGGAACAGCTTCATGATTCGCTATTTGTATCTACTCCAGTTGGTGAGTCTATTGTGGATGCGCAAGTTTATAGGGATTGTATTGTCACAGTACCTGGTCGAGACACCACGGCCGATCATATTGAGTTAGTAATGGTGGATTTTGATATGATAATAGGGATGGACTGGCTTCACTCATACTTTGCCAAGCTTGATTGCCAGACTAGAACTGTAATATTTGAAATTCCGGCCGAGCCAGTCATTGAGTGAAGGGGGGATGGTATTGTGCTGAAGGGTTTCTTACCTTCAGACCACGAAGATGATCAATAAGGGATATATCTACCATCTGGTCCGAGTCACGGACACTAGGGCTGAGGCATCGACACTTGAGTCTGTGTCCGTTGTGAATGAATTTTCAGAGGTCTTTCCTGATGAGATTCCTGGATCCCACCAGACAGGGAGATTGATTTTGGGATCGATGTGATGCCAGGCACGCAGCCTATATCTATTCCACTATACAGAATGGCTCTGGCAGAATTGAAGGAACTGAATGAGCAATTGAAAGATTTGTTAGAAAAGGGTTTCATCCGACCGAGTGTGTCGCCTTGGGGTGCATCGATTCTCTTTGTAAGGAAGAAAGGTGGGTCATTAAGGATGCGTATTGACTATCGGCAGCTCAACAAGGTCAAAATGAAGAATAAGTACCCACTGCCAAAGATAGATGAATTATTTGATCAGTTGCATGGTGCTAAGTACTTTTCCAAGATTAACATTGTTGAAACCCAATTTTTCCCTATATATTTTTAATATACAAAATACTTTCAAAATAGCATGTGCATGCATATATAAGTATGTCCAAA